GGCTGTAAAGTTTGAGTTTCTACCATGGTTCATGTATTGCTGCTTAGTTTTGCTAAAAGTTTCAGGGAACGTTCTAGCTACCATTGATATGTCTCTGTTTGTGGGCATCTTTCTCCCATTACTCACTTCATGGAGGTTACTGAATGAAAGCCTTCCAGACAGCTTCATTAAAGCACTAATCTTTGCAAAATTAATTGTTAAAATCATAATATGGTTTTGGGCAAGCAATCCGAGTAGGGCCAAACTGCCCTGAAGCTCCATACTATGACAGCTGGAACAGGAACGTAAGTATAGACATCCCACAGGCATTTCAAACTAGAGATATTGGGCTTATCAGGTGTAGCCTCACTGACTGAGAAGTTCCTAATCACCTCAACTGAGCCTTCATTCTAGATGCTGGATTAAAACAATTGTCTTCAAAGCATAAAGGAAAGTGATGCAGAAATATTTAATTTAGCTTGTATATTCTTTCAATTATGGGTTATGCTAAATGTCCCCTAACTGTACGTTAGATATATTGTCTCTAAATTAACCCCTGCTCTTTAAAAGGTGTGTAGCGTTCAATATAGAGCTGTATCCCATAAATTCTTGCTTTGTCATGAGAGATGCTTTCTTTAAAATGTAATCTTTTTTTTTTTTTTTAAGCTTTTTACCCTAGTTGGTTATTTTCTCATCTGCCAGACCCTCAAAGTAGGGATGAGTTTGTTTCAACTGGTACTGGGGACTGGATAATGTCTAACCTGTGCCCTGATGGTTAGAGTAGTGTGCTGTGAAGTTGGAGAGATGTAGGGTCAAACTCCTCCAGGCAAAAGGGCCTAGAATCTGGGTCTCCTACTTGCTGAGCAATTACCTAACTGCTAGTCTATTGGGCTAAAACATGGGAAGGCCCTCTTTTTCCTCCTCGTTCTCTTTCAGTATATAGCAGCTGCTAGTCGTGGGGTTTTGCCAGGCTACAATTTGTAAAATTAACACTCATCCAAGTATGTTCATAGGTAGCAGCTGCATACCTCCCTGGCCAAAGCACATCCTAGCCTGCCTTGCCGGAGCTCACATGTTCAATAGCTATGTGGATATAAAATAGAAGAGAATCACTGCATGTAGAATAGGGCTGTGAACTGAGTATAAGTGCCAAAAATGGCACTAAGGCAGCTGGGTTTGAAAAAGGAAACTAGGATTCTGTCCCAAAAGGGCAGTCTCTTTGGATGATTGCTCAAGCAAGAACACCTAGTTTTGGCAAATAGTTTATTGCACAGTGTCATCATGCACCTGTAGAGTATATACAGGTGACATGGTAAAGTCACAATACTGTATATTGCTTAGTATCATCATACGGTACCTCAAGATACTGTGAACATCAGAGTAACAAAGCCACTTTCTTGCGGGAGAGAAGGTTTCCAGAGGACATTCAGGAGTTTTACACCAAAAGACATACAGGCATTGCTCTGGAGTACTAGAGCTAGAAACAACTTGTTCCACATTCTGAGCTCAGTTAGACAAGAAATAGTTAAGACCAATATATGCTAAATTTTATTGCAGATCTTACTCTTACTGTCTTTAATGTTTCTGAAAAGCTGCAGAAAGAACATGTTGTGCTTTTCACTGTCACTTTAGCTCTTTATGCAAGTCTTTTACCTGGATAAATTTTGACCTCTGATTCATGCTCAGAGCTCCCAGGAAACTCGCCGGTAGTTCCATATGCACTTCGAGGACAGATATAGGCCATAAAAAAAAAAAAAAATTAATGATAGATGTTTCATTATCAGGCAATGCAACTTAATTAAAGAAAAATCTAAGATTGGGAAATGCAAACTGTATTTCATAAGAAGCAAATTAGCTTTGAAACTGCACTAGGCATGCTTCTTTCTTATGCCTTTTACTTGCACTGTTTAATGCTTTATGCCATAAGAGAGTAGTCTAGGTTGTCAGGATCTTCCAGAAATGAAGGTTAGTTGCCTGGAACTATAGTTCTTTGAGAAGGGCTCTGAATATTAACACCTAGTGCAGTGATGCTTAAAAATTCACTCCCTTTTTTATCCCTCACCTCAGTGTTCCCAAATGTTCCAACTATGTCTATAAAAGGGAAGAACATTGCCATCTTCTGCTGCCACCACAAAGTCACATTTTATTATGCCTATGACAAAGAGGGGGAGTGGGAAGGACACGTGACTATTCAGTCCATCATGAAGAACTAGTTTATGGGTAACATTTTTTCTTTTTTGAGTGTCCTCTGCATATGTCCACTGAGGGCATAGGGTACCTTGTTAACAGTAAGTTGGACTCAGTCCGTAATTAAATAAGGATGGAAGCGCTGAATGCATGTCTGCTCTGAATACGAGGGCAAACGTATAATGCTCTGTAGAAGTATGTACCAAAGTTCAAGATGTTTCTAAGATATGCCATTGGTGTAACCCCCCACTCTAGTGGAAAGTGCTGTAATCCATTTAAGGAAAAGATCATTTGCTACAAAAAAAAAGCTCTAAAATACACTGTCTAATGCACCTTGAAGGTGGAACAAAATGAAACGCAGAGGGAAAAATCCCTGAGGGGAGCAGGAAAATCAAGGTGGCATAGAGAGCATCCCCATCTTGTATTCAGCTTTGTGCCCTCCTTGCTACACAAACCTCAGTGAGAATCTGAAGAGAGATCTTCATAAATAGATCAGCTGGGACTTTTCAAACATAGGGATTTCTGCGGGAGGACCTTCATCAATCTGAAGTGCCTCCTCATTGTCTTTCTGATTGCTTAAGGTATTGCTCTGATGTATGCCCTTTCACCTTTCTCCGTGACTTATACAGCCCCAAGGAAATAAAACAGGATGCAGGATGGACCATTATTATGTTTCTGGCATAAATCACAGAGCTGTGATACTTGGACCTTGTGAATCTCCCTGTATGATAACCCATTATCCTATTCATCCGTGTTTCACAGAATAGTCTTAATAATGTAGATCTTATACCTACACCTTGCACCCTGCTACCTGGACACCAACTAGATGACGTCTACAAAGAGATTATTTTGCTGAATGCAAGACGTCTCACTTCGTAGTTGGAAGCCTTTACCCAGACTGACATAGATGAAGAAATGGAAGTGTTTATTTAAGCTGGAAGTGCAGTGTAAACTGTTGTCTGCAGCAGACCCCATTCCAGCTCTACTGATTATTTACTTTCTCTGAAGCAGTTTGGGATTTGCTTCGTGTGATAGAAGTGGTCCTAGCAGTGTTACCTGCAAATCAACCTCCTGTGAAGGATTTACCATTCTCTTGCATGCTGTGATGCAAGTTCCTTACGGGACTCTTGATTCTTAACAGTGTCTGGAGTATGCCTGGGCAATCACTTGACTAGTTAGTTACTCCATAACAGTGGTTCTCAACCTTTTGTGATTCAAGGTACCCCTCAAAAAATGCCAGATCTTAGTTTTCACTATTTTTTTTACTACAGAAAAATAATAGAGAAATTACTTTGTTACAAAGAACTCCAGAAGGCCCACAACAGGTTAGAATGTTTCTAAAGCTATGGGTTTCTATTTGAAATCTCAGGGTTTATCTTGTGTATCATGTTTGCACATCAACCAGTGTTATCATTGAATGGCATGCCATGATACCCTTGACCGGCTCCCAAGATATTCCACAGTCCTGTGGCACCTTGATTGAGAATCGCTGCTCTGTAGTAATTATAGTTCTTTGAGGTGTGTTGTCCTCCATCCCCGATGACTGGAAACCTTACAAGCAGGAGATTTACAAAGGAACTTATTGGTAAAGGAATTCATCCTGGATTGCATGTGCCCTACCATGTATACTCCTGGCTATAGAGAGCGAGGAGACTCCTAGGTTACAAGTAGAGGGTAAGAACCTTGTTGAACTAATTTTAGGTGGCTACTGGAGCTCTTAACCCCTGGATTGTTGACACATTAGCACCTGAAACTAGTTTTAAGCCCACGTCAGGCAGCTTAAAATTATACCACTCCAGGGAAAGTTTATCTCCGATCCATATTACCCAGCTCGTGTTCCATTAATGTGTGGCTACTCCCCATGGATGAGCCACCAAAGTTGCAATTCTCCAGCATCCCAGGATACAATGTCCCCTTCCCCACCCTTCTGTTCTTTGTGGACAAACTTTCCACCCCTTGAGCTCTAGGGCTGTGCGAAGCTTCGGTCCCTGATTCTACTCAGCAGCGATTCGGCCTGATTCGGTGACTGAATCTCTGATTCCGAATTGAATCAGAGGACCCTTTAATCTCTCTGAATCGAATTGGAACCCTCCGAATTGATTCAGAAAGATTTGGAAATTCCGACAGAGAGAGAGCTTTAAATGTTTTTTTCTGCATACCTCTGGGTAGCAGGGGCTCATGAATGCTGCAATGCTAGGGAGCATGGAGTGTCCCACAGAAACACGGGGGGGCTCCCCAGTGCACTTTGCAACAGACCTGGAAGTGGACCAGAAGCACTTCGG